ATGTTTTGCTATGAAGATAATAGAATTGAAGAAAAGAGTGACTATTATTCATACACAAAAAATACTCCATAATGGTGAAAGAAGAGTAGAGGAAATAGCAGTTGCAGGTGAGCCCAGAGCAGAGGCTGGCAGTTATGGGGGAAGAGAAAAGCCGAGGAGTCAAGGGAAAAGGAAAGAATGGAATCAGCACCATACCTAGACTCCTGGTGGCCCTGGGTGAACTTTTAGTAGTGGCTCCCCCTTCACCAGAAATAATGATAGTAAGAAATTACTATTTTTGGCTTCCTTTTTTGTCTGGGCCCTGGGCGGCCACCCTGTTTGCACATACATATGTCTGGCCTTGAATGAAATGGAAGGAATCCATGAACAAGGGCTTGGCCACGTAGCTTGTTTATATCAGTGTCATTAGCCTTAGTCTAGTGTTGGGGTTTTTTTGTTTGTTTTTTTAAAGATCTGGATACATGACACACACAGCCCTAAATCCAATGTATAATTATTCTGAGGAAGTCAGTGTGGAAACTACACTGATGTCATGTATGCAGCAATATAGGAGTAGTAACCTCCCAGCCTGCTAGCAAAGCATTGTAAGAGTGCCTACTCTTAGCCCCTAATCCCAAAGTACTTGTCATCTGTCCACTTAGAATTCCCAGGTGACTTAAGTTTATATGAATTGGACTGATATAAATTGGTTGTGTATCCAGTACAGGGGTGGGCAATTATTTGGGTCCATGGGCCACATAGGGAGTTTTGCTGAGCTGTTATGGGGGTGGGTCAACACCCCTCCCCCACCCTGGGTGCAATAGGTCACCAAAACTCCCTACCTGGGATGGGTTTGGGGTGGGTGGGGAGTGGTGTTCAAGAGTGGGATAGGTAGGTGATGCTGGGATTATGGAGCAGAATCATGGTGGTGAAAGCACAGGTTCAGGGTGCAGGGAAGAGCCATGATCTGCTGCTGTCATGCCTCTGTGATGGGGGCTGGTTCCTTGGGCAGGCATGTGCAGGGAGCAGATCGTGGCTCAGCCCCAGCCCAGCCCCATGCTGTCACCACCCCAGGATCCTAGGGTCCCCTTGACTCTACCCACTCACCCATCTCACTCCTGGATGCTGCTCCCTATCAGCCTGCAACCCCATCCCAGCCGAGCACTTTGCCCCCATGGCTCCTGGTCAGTCTCCATGGAGACACCAGGATTAGGGGTGGTGAGAGTGTGGGGTCAGGCCTTAGGCAGAGCCATGATGTACCCTCTGCACATCCCTGCCTGCAGAACTGGGGCTCTATCCTGACCCCAGCCCTGGTCCCATGCTGTTACTGCCTGTGATCCCAAAATCTCCATGGAGACTGGCCAGGAGCTGTGGGGGCAGGGTGCTTCACTGAGCAGATGAGATGGAGCTAAAGGCAGGCAAGGAACTGCATCTGGGGCTAGGATCTTGGGGTGGCAGTGCAGAGCCAGAGCTGGGGCAGAGCTGTGATCCACTCCCTGCATGCTTCTGCTCATGGAACCTGCACCCATCACAGGGGCATGTGGGCACCAGATCATGGCTCTGCCCTGGGCCCCAGCCCTGTACTGTCACTGTGCCAAGATTTCAGGGTCTCCCCAGCTCCGCCTGCCAGTCTCACTCCCAGCTACCACTCCCTGCCAGCCTGCGGCCTCATCCCAGTCACCCAGCCATGCACCCTGACCACATGGGTCCTGGCCCTGGTGGTGGATGCAGGGTGTATGGGCTGGGGTGCTTGAGCACTGCACCTGAATTGATGTATAGATACATCCATGATTTCCAATACATATAGATGTATTGGAAATCATGGAAAAATTGGGTTGCAAGTTGAGGGGGAGAAAGGGGAAGAGTAATGCTGAGGATGAGGAGGCAGCGACCAGAGAGAGAGGATTATGGACCAGTGCATGGTGGAGACTTAGTGGCAGATCAGTTATGTGGCAGTTTAGGTAACATGACAGTGAAAAAAATTGCTGTTTTTCTTATTTATTTATTTATTTATTTATGGTAGTTCAGACTTCACACCAGAAGTGGTAAATTAATAAGGCCAAAAAATAGTGGGTCTAAAAACCATTTTATAGTTGTAGAAGAGCTACTTATCAAAATGCCTACCTGCCTGTATCAATGAATACCAGAATATGCTCCCCTCTTACTATGGAGTTCTTTATTTTAAGCTGATGGGACCCGATACATGATCCCAACAATCTTGCTTCCTGACATGCCACATATGCAAGGCAGAAGTCACAACTGTGGGATTGAGCATCACTTCCCATCATGCCATTTGCCAATGCATTGCATCATGACCCCCGGCTCCTGCTTCACCAGCAATTTTTGCTCTCGTGGCTGGGAGCCCTGTTAGTTGACTGCTTGATGCCCTACTACAGCTAGGAACTCTGATCACTGACAGGGCTCCCAGCTGTGTGGCACACCACAGATTAACACCTTTCCTCCTTAAAGTTTTTTTGCAAATAGCTGGCTCCTGAGTGGACAGTTAAGACTTCTGGCACTTTTACAGGTTATTTGGAGTGCTGGGACAAGCTCATTAGCATGCTATTTCAGCTAACATAATAAAAAATGAAATAGCAATGCTGACATTTGGGGGCTGGACTCAAAAATCTTCCAAGGTCCCTTCCAGCCCTAATGTCTATGATATTTGCATTGTCTTTAGCAAGCTCATTGAGGTGAACTGTGTAGTTCACATTGCTCAGTCCTTGTGTGTCAGGCTCTCTGTAGGCTCAGGCAGAAAATATATTTTCAATTAGCAGTTGGCTCAGAATCATGAGGATGAGATGCATCATTTTTGGAATATGAGAACTCAAGCTATGGAACAAAATTTTGCAGTTTGGGGTAAATAAACAATAAATTCTGTGGCAGATTGTAGAACTATTGAAACAGAAAATAGCCTGGATGAAGCATATTGGTAAACACAGAAGTAAACCAGTGATCTTTTAGGAACTCCTGCTAAGGGAACAGTTTTCTTTCGTGGGCTTTTCATCCCCTGCCCCCCAATCACTTACTTCAGTGCTATGATCTGATAAGTGGGTGTAGTCACTTACACGCCCATAGTTCATAAAGCTTCTGCATTGATTGTAGAATATGGCATTTCACCACTTTTTGTTTCATCACCAGTTGCAGTGCATACATTTCTTCTGTCGGACAAATAAAAATAAAACAACTTCTGCCCTCTTAAAATGACAGCCTGGGAAGGCACAAACTAATGATTAGTTAGGACTCTCCACTCCATTCCCACTCCCCTGCCCATCTCTTCATCCCCAATTCTGCATGGCTAGAAAGAAGATAAACTGTATATTTTACAAGATTTTTCAAAGTTTGCGACTACCTTGGGCCCTGGCATAACAACCTGTGTGTAGATTACATTAAATAGAGTGAAACATTTCACTATGGCAGCATTGCAAGGAAAAGCATAAGATGTGAAGTGCCCTTGGAACATATAATGATAGACCATTTTTAACTAATGCTGGTGTAATCAGAAATGACTGTTCAGTTTCTCAGTAAAATTTATTTGAATGTTATGGAGGAAATAAAAGAGTGGTAAATCCCCTTTGGGGATGAGAGTGCTGGAGCATTATTTCAGCAGAGATATGGGTGATTGGTACTTCCTGGATCTGGGGGGGGGGCACACCAGCTGCCGATAGCCAACTGTGGGGGGGGTAGCAGCTGATTGCTGACCCTGGAAACTGGAAGTGCTGCTGGCGCTTCTCAGGGGGGGCATTGGCCAGTGGTTCCCACTCCCCGGTTGGTGAAGGCAATTTTGGGGAAGGGGGGGGCACTTGCCCCCCC